CCCCGGCCGGGCCCCGCCCGGCCCGCCCCCGCCGGCGCCTCCCCGCGCGTCCGGGACGGAGCCAGCGCTCCCCGACACGGCTCTGCAGCTGGAGCGGAGCCGCGGCGGCCGCAGGGGGAGAAAACCAGCTTTTTCGGGGCTTTGAAGGCAGGTGCAAATCCAGTCAGGTCGACTGTAAATCCCTCCCCGCGCGGAGCTTGTTTTTCCTACAGTCACCTTCACCGCGGGGAGCTGCGTCCGCTCCGGCTGGAGGAGACAAAGAGGAGCCTCCTCCTTCCCAAGGGAAACACCGGCGGGATCGCAAGGGGTGAATCCCCCCGTGAGGGGAAAACACGGCCCGAAAGCCCCATGAGCTGCACCGGCAGCTCCGCAGCTCCTCGCCGGCCGACCAGGCGGTTTTGGGGAGGATTCGCCCTTCCGCCGCGCGGCAGGAACTCCAGCACACCCCGCGCCGCCTGTTTACAGTTTTTCCTACAGGCCTCGGGAATTAACCGCCAGCCGGGTGGTTTGGCAAGGGGTGTTTTCTCGCTACAGCGAAAAGAAACAACAGTCGGAGGGGTTTGGGCACAGCGGTTACGCTCCCACCCGGAACGCGTAGCCAGGAGCCGCCTTCGGTCTCGATCATCCCAAAAGAGCCAGTTCCCTTGAAACGTAAGTTAGGACAGACAGAAGGACGAGGCCCAGCGGACAGGACAGACTTCCAGGCACACCAGAGCCGGTTTTAAGTCACAAAACACCACTCAGGAAACGAAAAACTTTGGAAATCTTTGGAAAAAACTCTAGGCACGAGGTTGGTGGAGGAAGGGATCCCAGTTCTGCTGCACGGAAACCCCGGGCGACGGCGTGAGCCGGGGGGACGATGCCGGCCCCGGGTTTCGGGAGGGCGGCCGAGGCTGCGCCCGGCGCGGGCGTTAGACCAGAACAGGCCTGACCTGCCCCGGAGGGGCTCGGCCGGGTTATTAGCAAATCGCCCCGGTGCTGGGAGAGCCCTGGCGCTGCAGAGACACTTATCGCCCTAATAAGCTCCCAGCGCGACGCCTCCTTATAAGGCCCGAGATTCGGGGAGCCCGGGCCCCGCCGCGGGATGAGTCACCCCGGCGGCGCTCGGGGC